TGAAAGCACCCGAGCTTCTACCACGTGGTTCATGACACAGCCTGAGCCATGTCGGCGACCGGTTCGCGAGGGGTTGGCGGTGGGGTTACGTTGATGGTCACTCGGATTAGCCCTTGCTGTACTGAGCTACCGCCTGCAGTGCCTTATCGCCGGCTGGTGTCAACAACGAGAACACACACACCCTGTCTACACCAAAATTACAAGCGTTCACCGCACACGCGTCGCCGCCGCTTTTAAGCTTTTGTGAAATTGCTTTCTTTTGCCGCGGAGAACCGCCTTATCTTAACTACGCGCCTGAAATCCTTCCAGGCGGGCGTACACAATATCAAGCGTTTCGAGAAATGCCCGTGGAGTAGAACTATGGGAAAATTCGGAGCCCGCGATGTTGATATCGTCGCCGTTGTGTTAGTACGCCGTCGCGTACTGCAGTCCCCCGTTGGGGGAGGGGGGGGGGGGACGGTCTTACTACGATAACATGGCGACAGCGTTTACACTCTATGTATTTACGCGAGGCTCGAGTATTTGGGGATAATGCTGCCTGTTGGTGTGCCCCTTTGTGCCTGATATTATCGCCCGTGACGCCAGCGAGTGAGATGGCGACAGGCATGACTGCTCAGTAAACAGGCGTCGGCGGCCATGTTTTGCTGGTTGAAGCGAACCCCCTTGTCCTTGACAGCGAGCGGGGAAATGCGAAAAAAAGATTGTATCGACCGTTTTGCCAGAACTAGCGACGAGTGTCATCTGCGGTTTCCGGCAACTATTTTGCCATAATCGTGAGCTTAGCGAGGAAATGATTTTTGCTAGCCACAGAACACTACCACGAAGAAAGGGAATGCTTGAACATGTTTTTGTTCTGGATATATATCAGGGATATATATGAGAGAGAGAGAGAGAGAGAGATGAAGGTAGAGCGGAAGAGGGAATAGCATGTGTCGCAGGAGAATAAAGTAAACAAAGTTCCTAGTGGCCGATGGCTGCATGATCTTTTCTCGGATCACTAGTCCGTAATATGATACCTCTTTGTACACAGTAGTTTCTCCTTAATTTAAGTGTGTGAACGATTTCTTTAGTTATCATTGGCCTCATCTGAATAAAAATATATAAAAGATGTGTGTTGGTTTCATGAAACTGGAACTCAGAGTCAGTTCTTGTATAAAACACTGCTAAGTGTAGGCTTTGAAAAAGGACCCTACTTTGGGGAGTTGTATCTTCTTTCTCAATAAAATGATGCAACATGTTTTTAATGGAAATGAATGCCGAAATAGAGTATAACAGGTTACCTAAATTTAAAAAAAATCAAGGGTGGTGTTTTTTTTTATTCGCATCGGAATTTTTCTTTGTTTGATTTTTTTTCCATGTTTGACTAAATATATCCTAACGATTGTATCACACAGATACCTTAGTTATTTTTTCAATATTAGCTATATATTAGTAGAATAATATCTGCAAATTATATCATAATGATTAAATTATTTCATGAGATACAGACCTCCAAAGTTTGCCATTTGTCGTTCGAGCAGGCATGTTTGTCAATTTTTAGAAAAATAAATAAATTTTAAATATATATGATTACTTTATATTACAAGCAAGCTGTACTCATAGTTTGCGCCTAAAACGTATTAGAGTTCTCCTAATGTTATCGCTTTAGTTATTCACTCTCAAACGGGCCCCCTCCATCAGTGCGCGTTAATGCAACTGTCCACCACCTCATGCCTTACGATTTTTCCTGTCCCCAAGTATTTTTTCTAGTCAAAACTAAGTTTGGATTCGTTCATACCAGACACTAGACAATAACATATAAAAACATCAGTTGATTTGAAAATGTCGACTAGCCATCCTTTGGTCGATCTTATCTGAAATCACCCATTGATAAAATACTAGTGCTTCAAAAGAAGGCTCTTGGATCTAACGACTGATTGGGCTGTAATGAACATAGCTTTATTTATTTTCGAAAGCCTAGTTTGCTCAATGTTCTCCAGTTAATTACCTTCAATCTTAGAAATGTTTTTTTTAATTACCCAATTCAAAAACAACAGGGAGCTTTTTTTAGGTCAATTCCCTCTAAAATGCATTCCCTACAACTTAATACGTGAAATACATGTTAGAGAGAAAATACACACGAATTATAGAGATTAAATTTAAAAGATCGAATTGCACAACTTCTAATAGGCATTCACAAATTTTCTATATGCCAGAAATAAAAACATCTCTCAATATGTTTGAGAAAAAATGAAGACCTATATTTTTGAAAACGTCTAGAACCTTGCGTGGGAATGTTTTATTTTTTTTTAATATTTTTGGTTTTGCATAACATTGTGATCCTTTGCATCAGATTGTTCCTCTTTATTGCACTACATTTTTTACACCATGTGAGCTCTTGTTTGTTTTGCACACTGCGTTGCGCTTTGTTTTATTTTAATTATCTTTTTTTTTCTGCTTCACCTTGAAATTGGTATGGGGCGTGGGACCCTAATCAAGTGAAATTTCCACCTCGTGTTCCTGCAACCTCAACCAAAAAGACTAATAAATGAAATAAATGTAAAAAAAGATGACTTATCCTCAACCCCAGGTGTTGTTCAGGAGCGAGTTCAAGATGGTTCCCGGTCTTCGCCCGAATACAATCAAAATGCCACAAAGAATGAAATCAAAGTAAACAAATTTAAGAAATAATCAACGCAGAAGCAAATAACGTTTCGTTTGAATCTCCGTGCTAATTATGCTTGCACAGGGAAGAGAGGGGGATAGATAAAAAGCAGCCTATAAGAAACAAGAACGTAAAGGGAGTAGCAGGGCGAAAAAGAAAGATTAAACAGAAGGAAAGAGCAAGGAAGAAAATTATATTTTAGTTGAGACGCACGTCGACTGCTTCGTAGACATCGGCTGGCCGCGATGAAAAACCTATGCTTTCTTCATATAAAAAAAAAACGCTGTAACCATCGTATTAAACTATCTCGCATAGTTCGTGTGCGTTTTCTTTTTGTTCATAGCGTCGAGAGTTATCACAACTTGATTGAGCAAGGTTCCAACTTTGGTTTCACAACTCTTTGGTTTCTGAGCCCAGCTACATCACAAAGTTTCTTAGTTTATTAGTGAACTATGTTCGCTCGAACAGGACTAAAAAGAATGTAGGCAAAAAAAAAAGTACGAGTTTTGTGGACTGAAAAGAGCACCTGCGAGCCGGAATTTGTAAAACTGTAGCTCGTTTCGATGGTTCGCAAACACTTGTCGACGCGTAGAGGCAACGTCCTCTACAGCTTTATCGGCTGTACCGGTACGTTTCCTTTTTTTATTATTATTATTTTTTTACGGTTGAAATCAAATACTGCTGGCGACTAGTTTAATTTTTCTACGACTGGCGAAAGGTAGTTGTATTTCAAGTCGGAGTCACGAGCACTAGCTATGCATCGTCGTCTATCTCCCTGGAATGGCCAACTTCCTTCGGTGATGTCTCATATTTGCTTTTCCGTCTAACTATACACGTTTTGTTAGGACGAATCAATATAGCGGGAGCGGGTACGATTTATAGTCACTGAAAACATAACCAACGACTGCAGGGGTTGACTTATTATGTTCACACTTGATTCGTGATTGGTTCTTTGGCTTTCTTATCAGCTAATGCCGTGACCTGATTGGCTCCGGAACGATATTGAGATGATTGGCACTGGCCACGCCTTGTGTTTCTTAACTTTTCGGAAACCACAGTAGCCCTGAAACATCATGAGGGAGACCGCCGTTCGGCACTCCAATATTTCACAAAAAAGCTAGATTTTTTTTTTTTTTTTTGGTGGGGAGGGGGTAAGAATCAATGTCTCTTAGCGAAACAACCGTTTCTAGAGTGGGGTTTTACGGGGTGTTCATTTCAGGATTCTCCGTACGCTATACTGCTACCTTTGTACTTTGTTTGAACCCGACGTGCGTCATCATAAATTTTGAACTTTACAAGAAGGCAGCGCCATTAGCTTTTTGTCTTTTGCCCGAGCGCAAGTTCGTCTGCTTCTTTTGCAGGGGGTTGCGGTGACGTCAGAAACAGGTTCAGCTCTGATTGGATTTGATTGAAGGATAGCGGGTGGACCTCGAGGCAGCTTGCTTTGGGATCCACTTACTATCCTTCAATCGAAGCCACTCGGAGCTTGGGGTCTTTGTGACGTCACCGCAGCCCGTGCCCAAGAAGCAGACGACTTGCTCTCCGCACATGTTCAGTTTCACTTTAAGTCCGAAGGCATGCCAACGCTGCGACCCGGTTGTGCCAATCAAGCGGCGTCAAAAATGTATTGTCTTGGCGCCTGTCGTCTTTTGGTAGATCACTACCAGCGACTGACCCAATCACGTGTACAGTAAATACACCGCGTTCTTGCGTTTTTTTTTTATTTTTCGGTGCGTGACTGGTTTTAATGTATCCTAGCGTCCGATACCATGTTACGACAGATAAAAATTGCGGCGTTTCTACAGCCCCAGAGAGCTTAATAAATTCAGGACATAGCGATCGTCCTCAGCCTATCACTTGGCAACCAGTAAAGGTGGCGGCATTCTCCATCAAGGAACACGGAAGATCCAGTCACGAAGCAAGAAGCCTGGACGTAATGAGCCACACCCTAAGTTTTCTAACGTGTCGGGGACGTATAAGTACACTCTAAAAAAGCCCGTTAGCCTACTTTCTTTCACAACACTCTGAGACCCGATCACCGCAACTTGCGGAGGCAGCTCAGCGAGTGACGATGCCGAAACATATGCTCAGACCCAAAAACGCAGTTTGAGTTGTGACATTAAGCAATGCAAGCGTGACGATTTGCATTGCTTAATGTCACAACTCAAACTGCGGTTTTTGGTCTACACATAAGTGTCGGCATCGACATTCGCTGGAGCTGCCTCCGTAAGTTGCGGTGATTGGCTCTTCGAGTGCTATGCGGCAAAGTAGACGCGCGAGATTTTTTAGTGTAGCGATGCGTGCAGCCAGGACTGTGGGTAATGTATTATGCATCCTTTTGCAGGTCCACGGTCCCATGAGGGCGGGGGGAATAGTCTGGATCCTTCTCCTGCTTGGGGCTGCATCCGGTCAGGCCACCAATGTTGTACGAGAGACTAAACTCGGGAAAGTGAGGGGTAACCTCGTACGGGTTGACTCCATTGATGTCGAAGAGTACAGAGGGATACCGTTCGCCGAGCCACCGGTAGGGGACCTGCGGTTTAAGGAGCCTGTGCCCAAGACGCCTTGGGAGGGTACTTGGAACGCTACGAACGGAGAGACTATTTGTCATCAGGTCCTTCATCCAAACATTTGTAACAACCCCGCGGTTCTCACGGAAGACTGTCTTCACCTAAACGTTTGGGCTCCAGCAAATGCAGCGAAGAGCCCTGTCCTCGTGTGGATACATGGAGGTGGTTTCGCGTATGGCAGTGCATCTCTAGACGGCAATAATGGCCGACTACTGGCTGCTTTAACGGGAGTGGTAGTTTTATCAATGAACTATCGACTCGGTATCCTGGGGTTTCTAAACGCCAATTCGCCAAACGCTCCAGGAAACCAGGGACTTCTTGATCAGCACCTCGCGCTAAAATGGGTACAAGCGAACATCGACGTCTTTGGAGGAGATCCAGCTAGGGTTACGATCGTCGGCCTTAGTGCAGGCTCAATGAGCGTTCATGCTCATATCCTGTCCCCCCTGAGCAAGGGGCTCTTCAAGAGGGCAGTCATGCTGAGCGGATCGCATAACAACCTCGACTTTATCGATAGCACCCATGGCAGTGTCGTGAAGGGAGACAACGTGGCCAAGTTACTTGGCTGTTCGCGACACAATAAAGATCTGATCACCCACCCTGACGATGTTCTGCGGTGCTTAAGGTCGAAAACTGCCGAAGAACTCGCCCTTGCAACATCAGAAATCTTCGAGTCCAAGGAATTCACATTCTTCCCAACGTTCAACGACCGTTTCTTGCCAAAGGCCCCAACGGCTGCCTTAGAGCGTGGATTCTTCCAGAACATTGACGTAATGGTGGGGGTCACCTCAGACGAATGCGCATCTGTGATCATCATACCATCGGGATCAGTTATTTTGAGAGAATCTTTTCATGACATCGAGTACGAACAACTTGAGCGAGCTTTGCAAGACGTAGTGTTCACATGGGCGCATTCCGACTTACCAGACCTGATGAAGCACTATTTGGCAAATGTATCCGCTGGAGAAAAACTGAAACTGACAAAGGCGTATCTGGACTACCTTTCGGACCGTATTTTCAACTGCCCAGCCCAGTTTTTTAGCGAAAAGCATGCAGCCAGAAAAAACGCGGTTTATTCTTTTGTATTTGCTCATAGGTCACGGAAGGATGGCTATCCTTCATGGATGGGTGCTCCTCATCACACCACGGCTTCTTACCTCTTCCTCAGACCCTTCACACAGGAAACTAAATTTACAGAAGAGGACAGAACTGTCAGCTCCAACTTCGCAAGAATCATCGCATCATTTTGCGAAAATGGGTACGTCACATTTGGTCTCCCCATCAAGGAGTAGTTCTTGCACCCCTACGCTATTTTGTTCAAATGCGCCCTAGATTCACGACCGATACGAATTGATAACGACTAGAATAATAAATACTTGGTCCTTTCTCGAATTATCAATGTGAAATGTAGCCGTACTGTTTTAGGTAGAATTTCACGCATCCACTGAAGGTATCATCGTGCGGTCTCAAGCCAAATATGAATGTGACTACAAGATATGCGTCCCTTTTTAATACAAATTTACGTTTTCTATGCCTCTAAAAATGCAGCGTTGTAAAAAATATGTATTTATATACGTGACAAAATCGTCATGCAGCTCTGGGTCGCAAAATATCGATGTAATCGTGTATGTACCGAGCTTCATACAGCTATTTCTAACGAGAGCACCATTGGTTGTTAATTCAGTGTTGTAGGCGTTACAGAAAAAAAAAAGTAAAGAAACACGTTACTCCAATCCTGCAAAATAAAAGAAACGCGTTACCGTTAAGGAGTAACGCACGTTGCTTTTGCGTTAGTTTTTTTTTGTAAGTTATGGTAACTGCGTTTTCTGTTTTTTTTTTTTTTTGCGACAGTGTTTTTCCGCAGTGGGAGAAAAAGGCGTGAGCGCTCGGGTTTTTCTAAACTGGAAATTTTTGCGTGGGTAAAAGACAGGCAAAGTTTGGAGGGCACGTAAAAGGAGTGCATTAATTAGTAAAGTGGCGGCTATACCTTGTTTCAGCTTCACTCTAGACGCAGCCGACGCTGCCAGCTAACGCTACCAGTCAAGCAGCGTCAAAAGTGCAAGTCACTGGGCCTTTTCTGTTTAGGATTGGTTCAGCGATGATAGAACACGTACAGGAACACGACGAACAGCATGATGGTAGCATTTTGACGCTGTACGATTGGACCCGTTAGCTCGTAATGCCGCCTGCGTCTGGACTTAAAACGTAGCATAGACACACTAAAAAAATGTAGTTGTACATTTTCTCAGGTCTGGGGACGAAGATGTAACGAGTGACGTAACTACGTTACCCGATACTTGAAATAAGTAGCGTATAACTACGCGACCTCTTACGTTTTTTTGGTAAAGTAGCGAGTACATTCCTACGTTACCGAAAAAAGTAGAGCGTTATCGGCAATGCCGTTACTTGTAGCGTGTTACCGCCAACGCTGATTGTTATGTTGCTACTATTTATTTATTTATTCATTAATTTATTCGTTGATTCGTTCACCGGTTATTTCGTTAATGCGTTAACTAGTACGTAAACCAGCCAAGAAATTATTTAATTTGGTGAATAATTAACTAGCTACCTAATTAATTAATACATTTAATCTATGAATGAACGTATAAAAACACGAGGGAGGGGACACGGACGAACGCTTGTCCGTGTCGGTCTTTGTTTGCGCTAGCAAGTTTCTTCAGCATAGAGACTTCGCCGCCGAGTTTCTCCAGAAATTGTGGCGACTGATTTTTCTTGTGCCTCCATCTTTATCTCTCCGTGTTTCCGGTCATTGTTTTGGACCCCATTTTGCAGGACCCCTGTGCTGCCCGATGGAATGCCCTGGCCGAAGTTCACCAAAGAAACGCCGATATCGATCGTGATCGGGAGTAACACTTTTACCCCAGTGCAGGGTTATCGAAACGAGCATTGCGAAGCGTGGAGAAAGGTCCTCTAGGTTGCGGAGGAAATCAGAGGTGTCCGGAGTCACGGCGCTTCGTCAACGGACATCCGTCAAAAAAAAAAAAAAAAAGAGGTACACCCAGCGAAAGGAACGTATAGATAAGAGTAACTATTGTTTAATCTTAAAATAATGGAACAGAACAGAGAAAGGAAGGAACCCTGACGATTGAACCCTTTATTTGAAACTACTGACAGCATTCAACAGGATTATTTGTTGTACCCACTGTATTTCTTACCCCTTTAAGAACTAACTAAACCCATCGCTAATAAACTATTTCCAGTGAACGTTATTGTGTGTGATTTTGTTTTTGTAATAATTATAACTTAAGGACACACACCTGCGGATAAGGGCAAAGTTATGACCATCCGGTGGGGCGCGGCAGAACGAGAATTGGGAACCACGGGTTTACTAAAGATGAAATATTGTCACGAATGACAATTGATGAGGTGACCAAACTGAAGCAAACTAAACGTTTAATGGGGCGAACTTGTGCCCAAAACAAAATGAACGCTTAATATGTTCACGCTCTTTGCTTCCTGTTTACTTCTCTAGAGCACTTATCAACTCATCCCGCAGTCTCATTGCCTGCGATAATAAGATTTCCGGCAATCGCAACGTCCTTCGTTTGTTTAAGCTCTCGGTGACTTGTATCAATAGACTCCGTGTACATGGATGTGACAGTCGTATCTCGCTTCGATGCGCAACGTACGGTCGCATCAATATATCCGCAGCTTAAGGGTCCCGCATCCTCGAGTGGCAAACAATACAAATTGTTGCAGCCGTGCCTACTCAATAGATTCATTACTCGTCATTCCAAAATCTAAATTAGAAATAAAAATAAAATAAAAATGCGCAGCCATGATTTGTTTACCGATCGTTCGATAGGAGGGAGTACGAAGAGCATTAAGATTCTATTGGATAATTCGAACTGAAGTTCGTGAGATAAGAAACGTGCCACGTCAACGTTTCTTGATAACTTTCAATGCCAATTAGAGGGGTTTTTTTTGGAAAGCATTTAATAACGTAGACACATTTGCTAATGAATGCCGTAGGTTTCAGGTGTGCGACTTGATATTCGGACGCGCAAATTTATTCCAAATATCTTGCCGAAGCACACTTTCTCTTGGAAATGTATGAATTTTCGAACGTTGTTCAAAAGCGAACTCAATGTACTGTGCTCACTGACAGTTTGAATTAATAAACGTAGGGCGGGGGTTGTTGTGTTCACGTGTCACCATGATTTGTTGCTCGGTGCTTTACCGGCTAATAGCGCAATAATCTCATTGTTTGTGGCGCGTCAATAACTAGGTGGCCGGAACTAGCCAGCCCTCACATCTCTTAAGCCCACAGTTATTAGAGGTGAAGTCACATTAACCAAAACGATTTTTTTCTTAAGGGGGGGGGGGGGGGAGGGAGAGAGAAGGGGGGGGGGTGATTCTTAAAATAGAAACGTGCGTCACGGTTCCCGTCCGCAACCAAGTTCTTATTGGAGCGTAATCTCAGACGGGATAACCAGAAAGGCAGTACGAAGGAAATAGTGGCCAATATTCCTTTCTAAAAGAAAATTGCCCACTGGCAAAATGAGTAGCCTAAAAAGCTTCGAGAGAGAAGAATATTTCCAATACAACTACAGTATTTTGAGTGCCATTTAAACTCCCGGCTTTGTGAATTTTTCAACTACGTTTATTAAGCCTCAAACATAATTGGTCAAGCTTTACGGTTTATCAACAAGATACTCCACCCTTCCCAAATAAAAAAAATAAAAAAATAAAAAAAACATCACTGTATTTCTGGTAACGAGTGAACAGAATTTGCCATGGGGACAGAAGGCTCATTAGTGTCAGTTTTGTCGCCAATGTATCCGATCTTTTAGACATTCTATATTTTGGTAAATTTTAACGTTACGCGTATCTCTCAAGAAAGGGCATTGCCCAGAGTTGTAAAAATAATAGAGCTTGTCAAAACTCTTTTCTTATTATTTTTGTCACGCTTCAGCGTTTTATCACACCCCCTTTATTGAAATAATAATGCAACTTGTTCATTCACATTTACAACACGAATGAATTACCCAACGTAGGAAGAGTCTAAATTATTTCAATGCCGCGTTAAATTTATCGAGAGCAGAATTCGGTTTCTGCCAAACCTCGTAAGAGTTTTGGCAGAGGCAGGACACCCTATTAGCACTGTAGGTGAGTATAAAGAAATACAATTACGGAAATTGTACTAAGATATTGAGGTGGGCTAGTTGGATATGCATGATATAAAAATTAAATAGCGCAAAGGTTAGACAAAGCACAAAGGAGCGAACATGTCCTTTGTCTTGTCTACATGTCCTGCCCTGTGTTCTGTCTACGTGTTCTGTCTATATGTTCTTTCCTTTGTCCTTTGTCTAACCTTTGCGCTATTTAATTTTTATGCAATCACGGAAGCGGCAGAAAACGTCCTGATACGAGGCCGGCATAAAATAAGGTTAAAGGACAAGACAAATGGAGAGATGCGATAAAAAGGATAAAACAGACAGTCAGAAAGAAACAGAAAAAAAGCGACGGATAATAAATATAGAAAGGGAACGAATGAAAGGCTGCCTAAAAGCTTCAAAATCGCCGGACCTAAAAAAAAAAAACGAATGCTTTATATAAAAAGAATAGTAACCATCCTATCAAAGTTCCTTCGTTTAACGGACGTTTTTCTAGCTTTCGTACATCCAACGCCCTCTCATGAAGGTGCTTGTCAAAGAGAGGCCTCAAGCTCGGTATCTTACCCGTTTTGTGCTTAAACAGGGGCCCTAATCTGGACACTTGGCGGAAAAGTCGGCGAGAAATTCGGCGGCTATGATTGGCCGGCGCCAAGGTCAAGTGTGGCGTTGGCCAATCGCGGCCGCCAAATTTCTCGCCGTCGTTTTCGCCAAGCGTCCAGCTTAGGGCCCCAGGACTAGACTCCGTTCCCCCGCAAGCTAACAGTGCAGTGTGAGCTAGGCACTCGCCGGACCAATCAACCGCTTCCCTTTCATCACATTACACCGCTCATGTACGCGTGGCTAGGGGCGGGAGAGTGATCGCATGGCGAAAGGTAGACGTATGGCTGGGTCAACGAGCATGTAGCTTACACCGCGCTGTCAGCTTAGGGTTAAATAAAGCATAGGTTATGAAACACCTGGGCTCTGTGACACAAATGGTCTCGCTTAAGCAAATGTCGAGATTCTGAGGAACACTGCACATGGTTTATCGTCATCTTACCCCTTACTATATTTCGGGTTATAAAAGAACAAAATCAGATTATTAAAGCGGGACGGGAGAGGGGGGGGGGGGGGTAGCTGAGCGGAATGAACAAAAAGATGTACGAGTTTGTGAGACAAAGAGAAAATACGGGTGATGCTGTGAACGTTTCAACATCGTGGAAACCCGATGCCCAAGTTGGAACGATATGCGAGTTTTTTTTTTTTTTTTATGTGAGAGAAGGCCAGCTGCAAGTTTGATTTGATGGTGACATTTTTGTTCTCATGATACGTAAAAAAATTCCGTTTACATATACAGCAACGTCAGCTGCAGTTTTCGCAGTAGTTATGTTTCGCTGTGGCACCAGAAGGTGTCCACGTCCACATTTACAGACACGTCTCTTGGCCTCGTAAAGTCTTCTAGAATCCTGGACTTCCCAACCCCATCCGGTAATGTCTAACACTCAACTTCCCCTTTATTTATAAAAATGTTACTACATAAGGTATACAGATAATTGAAGCTGGAACGATAAGTGGCTCAGTAATTTCTTCAAGATCCGGAAACTGCTGCCGATATTTCGCTAAGGGTGTTGTCTTTTTTTTTAGTTAAAAGGTGAGTTTTCTTAGCGAGACTCCCACTTTTAGGCCGGCATTTCCCAGATGTTTCTTTTTAAGTTCTCCTCACTTGCTATGGCTACATTTGTACGGTGTGTTGAATGAGCAACAGAAAGGAAGACAACAAAAACAAATCGGCTCGCGCACTTTTTTTTTTCGAAGTTGAATCACGAAGTTTGCCATTAAAGGGATACTTCAACGAAATTTGAAATAAATCCGTCGTGTTCAAAAATAGGTTGAGTATGATCCACAATATCCGTAAAGGACAATCGCACGTTTGTATTTTGAGCCTGGTGGCTGTATTTTTTGTTATAAACGGCCCACTCTAGCAAGCGCTCGGAGAAGGCCCAGCTTAGAGCACGTAACATCCGACGGAATCGTGACGTAGGTCGTCTCGGGACGAGCAAAGCTACGGCGAGGCTGACGTCGAGGGGATGGCCTAATCATTCCAGCCACCGAAGCGGCTGCTCGGTACGAATTTTGAGTGACGGGTTAATCTTTTATAATCATGTATGGGGACAATGGCTACTTTTGGAACACACAAACGGGATTCTCGGGAAGACGGGAGTTCCTCCTTCCCCTCTTCTCTCGTCGTGGCCGGAGGCAAAACACTCACCATCACTAGCTGTCAAGATTCCTAGACGGGCATTACAAACGATGCGTTAGCGACATCCACCAGGTGCTCTTTGCTAATCGCTTCATTCGTTTTAAAATTCCTTTTCGTGACTTTTTTTTAACAAGATATTGGTGTGTTCCATGCGCTACTGCTCCTTTGAACACGTATGGACTATAAAATAAGCGCCGAAATTTTGTTGTAGCATCCCTTTAAAGACACCATCAAATATGTTAGGCCTCCTTCGCTTCTCTCTGCAAACCGGACCAGGGAAGAATCAACGCGGTATTTAAGCTTGGCATCACTAGTTTATTTCAAACTTTAGCAGGGAACGCTGAAATATGATTTTCGCAACATACAGGATTATGCGCCGGAAGCACCCTAAATAACCAAACAAACTAAATGTCGGTTTTAAGTTTTAAGCCATGTGGCAGCCTTTTCCGCTCGTGTGTAATGGAGTATCCACGAAAGGCGGAGGTAAGTGTCTAAACGCCGGTGCTCATTTGTGCATCAAACACGTAGTTTCTGTCCCGTGCCAACCGTAACCACTAGTGTGCAAAGTCTATAGGCAGATTTGTAGACCCAAATTCAGCAATACAGTTGTTCTTGGGGGCTGTGAAAATCGTTTCTGGCAATTTCCTTAATTTTTTTTTATTTATTATTTTTATCTAAATACTGCGACCTCTATGGAGCATGTAGGAGTGGGGAAAAAGAGCACAATAAAGTATAAAAGGATGAGCTTTGCCGAACAATATACATAAAAAAATCACCCTGAAATTAACAGACATAAAAGAACAGTAGCATATTAATCAAAAGATAATTGTAGAAATTGATGAAACAAAAGCATCATACGGGAGCATACGAACTGACCCATCTATTTTATTTTAAAGTGTTATTGTACGTGGGAAAACAGAATTTTGAAAACTGTTGATGTCAGGCTGAAATGGAATAATGTTTAAAGGACGTGGACGTCTTGTTGGTGTGCTAAGTGAGAAAGAAATACATCGCGTTCGCTCAAAATTGTGTGCGGGACTCTACCAATACATTGAAAGTAATATAGAATAAATATGACCTATTTTGAATATAATAGGCGAAAGAAGTAAATAATTTTGAGCACATTTTTTATTGTTGGGGACGTCATTGGTCTAAACCAATAAAGAACCAAAACAAGAGAACAAGAGCGTGCAACAATCATCCGCGATCTTCCTAATTTTTGGAATTAACATCAAGCTATGAAGATGTGATCCCCCCCCCCCCCCCCCGGATATACTGGTGTTCCAACTTTGATAGATAATCACGCGCTTGAGACAAACAGAGGGGGTCACGAGCACCTATTCAGCCAGTACTACCTCTAGAATTCGGTGTCGTCATTATCCGAGGCTCTAGAACAATTTCGCCACTGAACGCTCGTGTTTGACACTGGTAAGCACGCCCGTCGAAGCAGCATCTGGTTTTTCTCATCCCTGTGCAGTGCCCTTTTAAAAAATCTCATAGATGTTTTGATTTTAGTTTTTTCTAGAAGAAGAAACTTTCAAAAGTTATGCACATCACTCGGACTGCGCATAACGCAGTTTATCCCTCTTTCCAGGTTAACGAATTTTCCATAATGAAGGGAACCATCTGGATACTACTCCTACTGGAGGCGACAAGCGGTCAAGCAACCAATGTGGTACGAGAAACCAAACTTGGGAAAGTGAGGGGCAAACTCGTACGAGTGGACGCCACTTTGGTTGAAGAGTACAAAGGGATACCGTTCGCCGAGCCACCGGTCGGAGACCTGCGGTTCAAGGAGCCCGTGCCTAAGAAGTCTTGGGAAGGAACATGGAATGCTACGAACAGAGGAACTACTTGTCACCAGGCGCCACGTCGCAACGGTACTACTGACTCCGCAGAGGTTACAGAAGATTGTCTTCACCTAAACATTTGGGCTCCAGCAGATGCAGCGAAGAGCCCGGTCCTCGTGTGGATACACGGAGGAGGGTTTGCGTATGGCGGTTCTTCTCTGGACTACTATGATGGCCTACTACTGGCTTCATTAACGGGAGTCCTAGTTGTATCAATGAACTATCGAGTTGGAATCTTGGGGTTTCTAAACGCCAATTCACCGGAAGCTCAAGGGAACCAGGGCCTTCTTGATCAGCATCTAGCTCTCAAATGGATACAAGAGCACATCGATGTCTTTGGGGGAGATCCGGCTATGGTTACGGTCATCGGCCAGAGCGCGGGTGCTATGAGTATTCATGCTCATATCTTATCTCCCCTTAGCAAAGGACTCTTCAAGAGAGCAGTCATGTTGAGCGGGTCGCATAACAACCTTGACTTCGTCGATAGCATCCATGGCAGTGTCATCAAGGGTGACAACGTTGCCAAGCTACTTGGCTGTTCACAACACGACAAAGATCTTGTCACCCACCCTGATGAAGTTTTGCGGTGCCTAAAGTCGAAAACTGCTGACGAACTCGCCGTTGCCACATCTGAAGCCTTCAACTCCAAAGAGTATAGCTTCTTCCCGACATACAACGACCGTTTCTTGCCGAAGGTTCCAAAAGTAGCCTTGGAACGTGGATTCTTCCATAATATCGACGTAATAGTGGGGACCACCTCTGACGAATGTGCAGCGGTGATCATCAAACCGTCAGGATCAGTAATTGCGAGCGAATCATTTCATGACATCAATTATGAAACACTTGAACGGGCTTTGCGTGAAGCAGTCTCTTCCTGGGCGCATTCCGACTTGCCAGACTTGATGAAGCAGTATTTGGTAAATGTGTCCGCTGGAGAAAAACAAGGATTGACCAAAGCATACCTGGACTATCTTTCAGACCGGGTATTCAACTGCCCAGCCCAGTTGTTTTGCGAGAAGCATGCAGCAAGAAACAACGTCGTTTATTCTTTCGTGTTCGCACATCGGTCGCGGAAGGACGGTTATCCTTCATGGATGGGCGCTCCTCATCACACCACAGTTCCTTACCTATTCTTGAGACCCTTCATAGACAAAAATAAATTCACAGAAGAGGACAGGACTCTGAGCGAGATCTTCGTAAGAATGATCACGTCATTTGCCAAAAATGGGTACGTTACTTTTGCTTAGCCATGCGTGGTAGACTTGTTGAATCCGTGGTGGATGTTCGTTTATACGTACCTTAGATTCACGACCGGTGCGGATAGATGACAACAAGAATGACGCAGTGTTCAATGCTCTGCTCCAGTTCGCAAGGTTAAACGCAACCTGACCATTTTCAGCTACATTTCACGCTCAAGTTAAAATAATTCAGATGTTGCTTTAAGGCAAAGTAGATGTATGGCGACTTTTTTTCAACTTTTTTGCTGTTATGAGGAATATACAAAAGCCAATCAAGACTAGGATCGCTACAAGGTTTCTCCGAGGGCTTGCAATTACGTATATAAATAACAAATTCTAAGAAATATAAAAGAACATAAACGTTCTAATACCACGTTTCCGCGTATAATAACAAAACTTTGGTGGCATTTGCTTTTACAAATGAAGCATTTCATGCCTCCTAGAGCTCTAATACATTTATTTATTCATGCATGTTATTTCTATTTATTTATCAATATAACTTGCAAACTTCCGAATTCCGCAATGGCTTCTGAAAACACATCGATTTCTTCCAACTACAGGCTAGAAACGAAGAGCTCGAGTTTTGTCGCCGAATTTTGGAAAACATGAAACCCATAAACGAAGCACCCCATATATACCTGCCCACTATAAATGAATTTCCTATATAGTACTTAATTTGTTTGAACCCCATTTTGCAGGACCCCTGTGCTGCCCGATGGAATGCCGTGGCCGAATTTCACCAAGAAAACGCCGATATCGATTGTGGTTGAGAGTAACAGGTTCACTCCAGTTCATGGTTATCACACGGAACGGTGTGAATCATGGAGAAAGATTCTCTAGGACGAGGGGGAAATCGGAAGGGTCTAAAATTACGGCACCCCGTCATCAAGTTTCCGTTATTAAATAATAAACGTGAACCTAATAGCCTTTTTTTTAGTTCGAGCAAAACAAGAAGGTTCAGGCAGCTGGTAAAAAGCCAAGTCTCTTAAAAAAAATGAGGGAGCTTACCTTTAAAGGTTTTTTTAGAGATTCCTGGGATTTTTTTTAGTGTCACTGGTGGTAGGTGTTTGTGTCGTCTGAATAGCTTAATAAGGCAACTGCGGTTAAAATTAGCAATTTGAAGCTCGTCCGCGTTAGTCTCTTTGTGTTCATCCGAACCTGTGACTCTGACTATGTCGTACGTTTACTCCCCCCCCCCCCCCCCGCACTTTCTTGAAGGGTAGCGGCAGGCTGCCGAAAGGGAAGCATGCACTAGGCTTGACTGATGAATAAATACTACGTATAAAGCGTAAATTCGGTGCATTTTTCTTTTATTAAAGCCAACAGTGAAGCAGGCGCATAGTCCGGTGAGGCAGCGTGGCGGTGGCATTTCTCATGGAGAAGCGAGTCATCTGCTGGTTCGTTTTTCTTCTAATTGATAATTATCATTGCACTTAAGCTCAGGCTGCCCAAGTTTGAAGAGCAATAATTTCCCGGCATTATGGTAATATCAGCAATGTGAAGTGAGGAAAAATACGATCTTCTTTTCTTTCAAAAGGCTGCACAACACAGACACACACACTGAAACACACACACGCACGCACACACATGTGTGTGTTTGTGAGTTCTCTTGCACACAGAACACAGTCAGCCCATCTCGAAGAACAATAGAAAAATCCCATGCCAATGTCGAAGATAAGTTAGTATACGACCCCGGAAGATACCACGACGTGCGCATGGCGTTGGGATGATGGTTAGATCACTCCGTGATCGGCTCTCTTCCTATCCTGCAAGAAAGTGAACTAACGGATTTTTTTTTTCGGTGAGTGTTTCATTGAGGAAAAAAACAAGTCGCTGAAAAGTTTATGGAGTTCTCCTTACACTCCAAGAAGTTGGCACAATTCTTGATCCTGCTGATAAAAATAAAAAAAAAAAGTTCTAAATAATCAATTCAAATCTGCTTCGTAATTTTTTCTACTTTTTTACGTTACAATTTCTCGCCCCTCTAATTCCTCGAGCCCTGAAGGTGCACATAAATTAATAAACGTGGAGTGACTAGACCTAAAAAATAGACTGTTCTCTGACACAGCATGACGTAAGCAACTGGAACGTCATGCTCAGCGCTACAGCGGAGACTTTTTGTTGAAGATCTATCCTTCGCTTCAGCCTAAAGGAACCCTGCAACACTATTTAAGCGTCTACCCTTTTTGCAGTTTCTACGTCTCTTGTGGTTCGGGCAACCGAGCGGACACGGAGAGAGTAACTAAATATCAGCGCGTCATATTTTAACTGGACGACGCGGAAACCTCCTCCTCCTACGGTGGAGCTCCGTGGTGTCAAAAGCGCGCAGCATGTGACGAAATCGTGACGTTTTGGTCCTAACGTCAGTCGAGGAGAGGAACTGCTCCGTTCTCGGGTAGCTTCTCTCCTCTGCCTCACCTCCTTTCCCCACTTTCCCCTCCCTTCCCACATTCCTCAGTCACCGCGGCAAGGGGAATCCTCCGGCGCGAGAAAAGGGTAGACAGAAGACCAAGGTCGTCATGAAGAAATTATTTTTGATTGTTTTCGTAACTTTATTATGCCTATAACTAATAAAATAAAGCGCACTTCGAGGAAAAAAAGTTCCCTAAGGTTCAGTGCGCTTAAGTTCGGTGCAAATTTAAAAAAAAAAATGTCAAAAAGTTGTTGCAGGGCCCCTTGAAGTCCAGACGCAACCGACACCACGAGCCAGAAGAACCAATCAAGCAGCGTCAAAAGTGCAAGGCACTGGGCCTTTTCCGTTTATCATTTGTCCTGCAATGATATAACACGTACAGAAACATGACGTACACCATAGTGTGACCTTTTGACGCTGTCTAATTGTTTCCATTGGCTCGTATCGTCGGCTGCCTCTGGACTCAAGGTGAAACGAAGTATAGACAGATTTTCGGCGCCATAATTTTCCAGGCTCCATCCATACACTGCATGAATTGGGTATCACAAGTTGTTTTTTTTTTTTTTTACTTTTTCACAAAAAAGTACAATTCGCACACCTGTACGAAGTAAGCCACGACATACAGGCTCTTTTCAGTGTTGAAGCTAAACACGAACTCAGCTCTCCTACGTCACACCGCGGTGATGGCGCCTGAGGCGGACTTTCGGTCTGGGGTGGTGGGCAGAAGTCGCGGTGCGAGACATGCATTCTTGCGTTCTTTTGGGAGCAACCAGACAAAAAACCTGCCTTCTCGTCAAAATTCTACGACGGGGCTGTACCAAGAGAGTCTGGGAAGGTTTGCAGATCAGTTTTCATGTGTTTCTGCCCCCTCCGTTCGTCCGAGAACGTGGAAAGTAGCCGTTGCAAGGGCAAACCAGACGCTGTCGAGCTACGATTGCTTGTGCGGGCAACATTTTGTGCTCGCCAGATGTAGTTGTTGTGTTCCAGCATGAACGAGAGAAAACCGCCAAGTTGTCCGGACCACTCGCGGGTTCAGTGCGTCTTCAAATTCACACGGCCGCCTGATCGTTCGTACTTTCGTCTGCGCTTTCGAACTTGTCTTCTTTTTGTCGTCTGCTCGTTCAAACAAAAGCGGCCCGTATACCAAACTTTGACCCGGTGATTGTAATAAGAAGTAATTGCAGGCCTCAAGAGACTTAAGTTGGCTCGGTGTAAACAGTAGATACAAGATGTTGCTCATTGGTACCAGTGGCCATCCCCGACTTGTTACGCTTGGTCTGTTCCCGGTTCCGATTTTAAGTATTGTGGGGACCCTCTCCCTGGCTCCTCCGCGCTCCGTGACCTTGCCGGTGCCCGCCGCCGTACTGTCGGGCGCTCCTTCGTTCCCCGTGACCTTCCCGTTTTCCGTCGCCGTCCTGTCGCGGAACGTCCGAGCTCTCCGGGAGGAACGGGGCAAGCGCCCCCTCACCCAGCGCTGACGTCGGAGGGTCGGCTCGCAGCAAGGTTCCCGATTGGACGGTCGGCGGGACAAGGACTTGGGAAGGTCTTAAGAGGGGAACGGAGACAAAGGAAGAGGGCTTGGGCTGCCGACTAGACAAGGGACCGGTCATGGAGGCGAGCTCGGACGGCGCCGGACGCTGGCGCAGGGAGTGCGGGCACTACGTTGAGTGTCGGACTCGACAAACGGACCGGACGGCGACCCTGGACGACAACGTCCCCATGACGCGGTGGGGACGACCACCGCTGGGACTCAGAGAAGCTGCTGTGGCAGCGGACTCTCCCCCGGCCTCGCTGATAACCGTCCCCCGATCCCGAAACCCCCCAAGGCAATGAGTGAGTGAATAAACCCTTTTGCCGAGAGCGAAGTATTGCAGTGTCATATTCATCCGGAGACAGGGTTTCTGGGAATCGGAGTTAGAAGATGCCCGCAGTATCAACGTCGATCATCGCCGCTACCTTCTACACTTTTGCAGCACGAGCGACGTTGCGACCGAAAATAGCTAGAAGGATCTCATCATGGTTTTGGCATCTATTCTGCGGCGTTCATGTGAATGAATCGCCTCACGTCAAATTATTTATGCAAAGTTTAGCGGCGTAACGAACCTTGATAATTTCTCTCAGGCGATTAGGGTGGTAAGATTTTGTACGAGGACGTAGAATCGACGATTCCAACATTAAAAAGAGTATGCAGACTCACACAGACGCCGACAACGTGACATTCCAATGGTTTGTTGGCGCGGGACGCGGTGCTTCGTGCCCGCACTCCATTGCGCATCCATTCGAACTGTCGTCTGCTCTTTCAAACTTGTCTGCTTTTTGTCGTCAGCTCGTTCAAACGACAGCGGCCTGTAAACAAACGTTGACCCGGTAATTGCGATAAGAAGTACAGGTCTCAAAACACTTTTGAAGGTTGGTTGGGGTAAGTAGGTTAAGTGTAAAAAGTACATACAAGAAGATTTTGATCATTGTTACCAGTGGCCGTCACCGACTTGTAATGCCCGATTCTACTTACGGTTTTCAGTATCGACATCCACCACGGTTCACGCTTTTGCAGCCCGAGCGAAGTCACGACTGAAAATAGCGAGGTGAATCTCCTCGCGGGAGTCAGGTTTTAGAGCCCATTCTGCGGCGTCCACGTGAAATGAATCGCCGCAGGTCACGTTATTCACGCAAAGTTTTGTGGCGTAACGAGCCTCGTTAATTTTGCAGAAGCCGCTCAAGTAGTCAGACATTGTTAAGAGGACGTAGAATCAACAATTCCAAAGCAAAAAAGGGCACGGGGACTCACACCGACGCCGACAACAACGCAATTCATTGGTTTGTTTACGGGCGACGGCGAGCTTCTTGCTCACCGTCCACCGCGCATGCGAGGTGCCGGTGGCGTCAGCTAGGGGCGCTCCGGCTTGTTTTGCAAACTTGAGTTGGTGTATAGAAATATCCCAGCGCTTTTTTATTCATAGCGTTATTCGTCCATCCCTAATCAATTTTAAGCATGTGATAGTTTAGCGTGAAACGTGATTGGACATGGCGGCTCGCGTCTTTGGCCTTTAAGTCCATCGTAGGATGAAAGAAAGTATTCAAGCATTGCGTTGAGGTCTACCCTCTATCCATCAATCAAAGCCAAGCAGAGCTCGGCGTCGTCCTGACGTCACCGCAACTCCTGCGCAAAAAGCATACGGCTTGCTCTCCGCATGGGTTACATTTACAAAATTATACATTCCTGCTTTTCTTGACAAAATATTGCAACCCCCGATCTGTAAGTGCCTGGGTATCATAGAAGGCACATCAAGTTGTTGTGTTTAATTGAAAACTTTATTTTAGGGAATGTCCCAAATCTTTAGCCATGTTCGTAGTCTAAGCTACGTACTTGACGCCATCGTACCATGATGGTGGTCATTCCTATACTAGCTCTTAACGAGAAACTCAA